CAATCCTTCTGCCTAGTCCGCCATCTTGCCCCGCCTCCCTCAAGTAGTTTTAATTTTAGTGAGTACACAAGAACTTACTTGTGCCCTGAGGCAGTTGATATTATAAAATTAGATTATTATAGAATAATAATCTCATATTAACTATTGACTAACATTTTCTTTTGGTGTCAACTTGGTGAAAAGAATATATTTTTCCTTATTAAGAGGTTAGTATCAACTATTAAAAGGAAACTTTTCTACTCTTCAAATTTTGTATAGTTGGAAGTTTGCCATTTTCTACACCATGATGTTATTGGAAAGTGGAGTAAGTCTTTTAATGTATATTTTAGATATTTGAGTGACTTATTGCTTAAGAATCCTGATGCATAAGATGAGAAAACCAATAATAGTTAAAAAATAAAGGCAATGGAATGGAAAACAAAATTTAGGAATAGGTGAGGAGAAGGAATGAGGAAGTAGCAATATTCCTATTCTGGGGATAGGTAGTCAGCTTTGTTTTATTATTATGTTGTATAATTTATGTTAAATATATTTTATATGTATTAAATACTGTGTTTTTTAAAAAGAGAGGTTTGTAGATGTAATTAGTCTAGTTTACAAGTCTGGAGCCTTTGGATTGATTTTTTAAAAAAATCATTAAGAATAAAGAAACTTACTAAAAGGAAGGCCTTAAAAGTCATCAGACTTTTAAATTATTTACATTACTGCAGATTTCTTTCAATTTTGTTAGTTTGTATAGTCCTTTGCTTTTTTATTATTGTTAGCATAGTATATATTTTTCCATCGTTTAATTTTTAACCTGTTTTTGTTGTTGTATTTCATGTAGGGTTTTTGTAGGTAGCATATAGACCTTATTTAATGTCTCAGTTCACAGAAAATTATATACTTAAGCTTTTCCAGTGTCCAAGTAATAAATTTTAAATCATGATAAAAGAAGTAAGGAACAATTATTGCTTGTTGGGTAACTCATCTTTTAGCTAGAGTAGTGTTTCTAGGCCATTTTTAAATTATCCTCACCCTCTTCAACTTCCCCAGGAAAATTTAATTTAAATTAGTAATTTCCTAAGTCTGTATCAACAGAAATTAAATGCTAAGGAATAAGAAAGAAACCAAATAGTAAAAAAACAAGAGTGGCTTTAGGGCCAACAAATCATTGCAATGTCTAAGATGTTTTTTTTGCCCTTCTCCCCTCCACTCCCCCAAACTAATTTTCACCCCTTGGGAGCGGTATCATCCCCACTGAGAGTGCATGGCTGGATTCATATTACTTAAGTCATTCCCTTGAATAATGTTTTTTCTAGCCAATTTTAATAAAATGTGGTTTATCATTAAGTCCTATACGTGATGTTTATTCAAACATGTTAATAAAATAAATGGCATGCCTTTTACTGTCCAACTAAGATTTTGAATTTTTTCCATAGTTCTGTTATCTGGTAATAGTCTTTACTTTTATTGTAGGCCCTTCAAACATTTGGGTGTGGGAAATGGATTATAATTGAAAACTTTAACAGAGATTAAAATTTTTTTTTGATAGTATTTCTGATTTTTATTAAATGAAATTCTGAGCCTAATCCTGTTTTTGAACTATGCTTTCTAATTTCTGTTAACTTCAGTACTTTGTGATTCATATTGAACCTTTTGTTCCAGTTACAAACCTGTAGACCATAAGCTCATTTGGCTACCCTTACGAGAGGGATTTGAGGAACTCTTTGCCCAGACATTTTCCAAGAAGCAGAACTTTACCTTCTTGGGACACATTCAGACCTGTTACAGGCAGAAGCGGTGGCATGATCTCCTGAGACTAATGCAACATGTTCAAAAGTCTGCTGTCAACAAGGATGGAAAAGAGAGTGAAACTGGTAAGGATGTGACCCACGCTTCCAATAGGAGGGCTTGAGGCTTGGCCTCAGAATTAGGAGAGGAGTTTCAGGAGAAGAATAGAGCAATACATAAGACTTAGGGCAAAGATAACTTGTACTGAAGTGTTATTGCTATCAGGATTCTAGGCATTATTCCCACAGAAACATACCTGGTAATGCTGCTGTACCATATAGTGGTGAGTCAGTGGTAATGCTTACACAAGTACCACAGAGTAGTTGGTAGGTTATATTTTCTCAGCACAAGAACTGATTTCCAGAGAGCTGTATTCCACAGATAAGGGCTCTTGGCAGCTTGCTTTAAGTTCTCTGTCCTTCTTTATCTATAAGATAGAAATAAGAATATCTACTTCAAAGGGTTGGCATGAAAGATAAATGAGTTAATATGTGTACAAATGAGTTAATTAGTGTAGTCCTGGCACATAGTTAGCATTATGTATGTGCTTAGACTTAATATTTTTATACTTCTGTCAAAATGCTTAACTTTTGTGTGAGTTTCTCTAGTTGTGTGTTTTATGTGTGTTTAAAAGTTATAATAAGTCCCTGGGTGGTACAAATGGTTAATGCACTCAGCTGCTAACCAAAAGGCTGTAAGTTCAAGTCCACACAGAGGCTTTTTAGAAGAAAGAACTGGAGATCTACTTTTGAAAAATCAGCCATTCAAAAACCTTATGGAGCACAGTTCTACCCTGATGCTCATGGGGTCACCATGAGTTGGAGTCAACTCCATCACATCTCGTTATTGTTGAAAAGGTGTATATATAACTACTTAAAATGTGTGTTAAATTCTTGTCTTTATTCTTTTCTAGGATTGCTCCTAAAGGAGAAGTGGGAAGCATTTGGTCTTAGACTTAGCCATGCTGAACAACAGATGAAAATGACTGAAAATGCCCTATTGTTTGCCTTTGTAGAGGTATCTTGTTTTAGTAATTTAGATTACAGGAATGTTCATATAATGCAAAATGCAAGTTTTAGGTACGCTGCTATTTTGTGTTCTTCTTATGTTGATATTTTAGTATTTTCTGTTTAAGATTTAATAAAAACTTAATGAAAAAGGGTTTTTGGGGAAGATTTAAAAAAATATCCTTTATGGAAATGATAAGATCTTTATGAGCACCATTCTTTTTTTTTTTTAAATACATTTTATTGAAATATATTTTATATACAGTAAAATACACAAAACTGAAGTGACATGGGTCAATGCTTTTTTGGGGGGAGGGGCAGTGTTTCCTTCCCTCTCCTCCCACCCTGGATAACCAACAAAGAAAGTTTCCTTCCATGTATAAATTTTTCCTTGACTTTTTTACAATAACAGACTAATACAATATTTCTCCTTCTGTGATGGACTTATTTCACTCAGCATAATGTCCTCCAAGTTCATCCATGTTATGCGGTATTCTGCAGATCCTACATTATTCTTTAGTGTTGCATAATATTCCATTAGGAACTCTGGTAGCATAGTGCCCAAGGCATTTGAGCGCTAAGCAGAAGGCTGGTAGTTCAAATCCACCAGCCACTCCTCGGAAGGAAGGTTGGGCAATCTATTTCCGTAGTGGTACCTCCTTAGAAACCCAAGGAGGGGTCGCTGTGAGTTGGATTCGACTCGATGTTAGTGAGTTTTAATATTCTGTTGTGTGTATGTACCATAGTTTGGTTATCCATTCTTCTGTTGATGGACACATAGGTTGTTTCCATCTTTTTGCTATTGTAAATAGTTCTGTGATGAACATGGATGTGCATGTATCTGTTCTTGTCCTGGCTCTCACCTCTTTAGGATATATATCTAGTAATGGGATTGCTAAATCAAATGGTATTTCTATTTCCAGCTTTTGAAGAAATCGCCATATTGATTTCCATAGTGGTCCTATCTTTATTTAGAGTCCCATAAGCAGTGTATGGGAGTCCCTATCTCTCCGCATCCTTGCCAGCATTTGTTATTTTCTGTCTTGTTTAACTTTGCCATTAGTGCTGGGGTGAGATGGTATCTCATTGGTGTTTGATTTGCATCTCTCTGATGGCTTAATGATCATGAACATTTCCTCATGTATTTGCTGGCCAACTGAATATCCACTTTGGTGAAGTGTCTTTTCATGTCTTCTGCCCATTTTTGAATTGGAGTGTTTGTCTTTTTGTTGTTGAACTATTGGCGTTTTCTGTAAATTTTAGGATAAGTTCCTTGTCAGATAAGTCATTCCGAATATTTTTTATGGAGCTGTAGTTTTTTTTTTTTTTTTTTAATTGTGATTTGGGTGAAAATTTACAGAGCAAATTCAGTTTCCATACAGCAGTTCACATACACTTTGTCTCATGACATTGACCACAATTTACCACAATGCGCTCCCCTCCTACTTCCTCCCGATAGTTACCTCTTCCCTGTGTCCATCCCTCCATGCACTCCTGCTGTAGGTTCTTTTTTAACTTTTTTTGAGAAGTCTTTGGAAGCACATAAATATTTAATTTTTAGAAGGTCCCATTCATCTAGTTTCTCTTCTGCTGTTTGTGCATTTTGGGTTATGCTTGACAGTCTAATTGTGCCATAAATTAGAGCCCCTAAATTTGCCCCTAGTTTTTCCTTGAGGAACGTTATAGTTTTGGGATTCACATTTAAGTCTTTTATCCATCTGGTGTTAGTTTTTGGGAATGGTGTAAGGTACAGATCTTGTTTCATTTTTCTGCAAATGGATATCCAGTTTTGCCAGCACCATTTGTTAAACAGACATTCTCTTCCCCATTTAATGTATTTCAGCCCTTTGTCAAAGATCAGCTGACCATAGGTTGATGGATCTGTTTCTGGGTTCTCAGTTCTGTTCCACTGGTCTCCGTGTCTGTCATTGTTCCAGTACCAGTTTTGACTATTGTGGTTATATAGTAGGTTTTGAGATCTGGGAATGTGAGTCTCCTACTTTGTTCTTCTTTAATAGTGCTTTCCGTATCTGAGGTCTCTTTCCTTTCCATATAAAATTTGTTGTTGTTGTTATGTGCCGTCGAGTCGGCCTCGACTCATAGCGACCCCTCCTTGGGTTTCCGAGGCAGTATCACTACAGAAGTAGGATTACCCAACCTTCCTTCTGAGGAGTGGCTGGTGGGTTTGAACCGCCAGCCTTCTGGTTAGCAGTTAAGTGCCTTAGGCATATGCTACCAGAGCTCCTTCCATATAAAATTAGTGATTGGTTTTTCCATATCCCTGAAGAATACTGATGGGATCTGGATTAGGATTGCAATAAATGTATAGATTGCTTTGGATGGTATTGACATTTTCACAATGTTCAATCTTACTATCAACGAACATGGAATGTTCTTCCATTTATGTAGATCTCTTATGGTTTTTTGGTCGTGATTTGTCATTTTCTTTGTACAGGTCTTTTGAGACCCTCGTGAGATTTATTCCCAAGTATTGTATTTTATTTTTGGTAGCTATTGTAAATGATATTGATTTCTTTATTTCCTTTTCAGCAATTTCTTTGCTGGTGTAGAGGAATCCAACTGATTTTTGAATGTTGATCTTGTATCCTGCCACTATGCTAAATCGCTCAATAAGTTCCAGTAGTTCTTTTGCTGAGTGTTTTGGGTTTTCTATGTATAGGATCATATCATCAACAAATAGGGATCATTTGACTTCTTCTTTACCAGTTTGGATGCCTTTGATTTCCCTTCTTTGCCTTATTGGCCATTGCTAGGACTTCCAATACAGTGTTGAATAGAAGTGGTGATAGAGGGCATCCTTGCCTGGTTCCTGTTCGCAAGGTAAATGGTTTCAGTCTATCTCCATTGACTGTTGGTTTTGCATAGATGCCCTTTATTATGTTGAGGAATGTCTCTATTCCAGTTTTGCTGAGAGTTTTGATCAGGAATGGGTGATGGATTTTATTGAATGCCTTTTCTGCATTCATTGATATGATCATGTGGTTCTTTTTCTTTGCTTTTTTATGTGATAGATAACATTGATTGTTTTTCTAATGTTGAACCATCCTTGCATACCTGGTATGAACCCCACTTTGTCATAATGTATTATTTTTTTGACACGTTGTTGGTGTCTGTTGGCTAGGATTTCGTTGAAGATTTTTGTATCTATATTCATGAGGGATATTGGTCTGTAGTTTTCGTTTTGAGTGATGTCTTTGCCTGGTTTTGGTATCAGGGTTATGCTTGCTTTATAAAATGAATTTGGGAGGATTTCATCCTTTTCTAGAATACATTCTTAATATTTTTAAAAAGATTTCGTTGAGTGAACCTTATAATCTTCCATTGCTTCTTGGAGTATATGTGTGTGTGTGTGTGTGTGTGGGGGTGTGCATCTGAGACAGAAAGAACCGTTCACTTTAGTGTCCCAATTTTTTTTTTTAAAGTTAATTTTGTTATTGTTGAGAACATCACACATAGCAAGTGATACACCAGTTCAAAGGTTTCTACACTAGCATTTACAGACATTGATTACATTCTTTGCCTTGTGCAGCCATTTTCACTCTCCTTTTCTGAGTTATTCTTCCTCCATTAACATAAACTCACTGCCCCCTAAGGATTTTATCTAATCTTTTTGACTTACTGTTGCCAAGTTGATCCCATATAGGTTGATCTTGAAAGAGCACAGTGCTCAAGGCAGACATTCTTTACTAGTTAAGCTAAACTATTGTTTGGTTTTAAAAAAACATAAGAAGATATTTTGATTTAAAGTTAGTGAGCCGTTTTTCATTCCAAGGCATGCAGAGTTATGTTTGCTGTCTGTAGCTCTCTAGGAAACATCAGCTTGATTAAATGTTCATGACTTGGGCTCTTTTTTATTTTAATTTCAGGTTTTAATTGTTTCCCTGACACTCTTTAGACCATTCCTGTATATCCCCAAAGGAGAGAGGTGTCTAATTTGAGGTGGTGGTTCAGAAGAGAGAGAGAAGGCTCACTTAGTCATATGTCCATTGATGTGGGAAGTTTGATCATCAGTGCTTAATCCTTTTTTAAATAAACTTTTTATTTTGGAATAATTTTAGATTTACAGAAAAGTTGCAAAGATCGTACAGAGAGTTCCCATATACACACACCCAGTTCCTTCATTGCTAGCTTATGTTACCGTGGTACCTTTGTCAAAACTAAGAATCTGACACTGGTATATTGTTGCTATTAAATGTCATTGAGTCCAGTTTGACTCATAGTGATCCCACGTGATGCATTAGAACTGCTCCATTGGGTTTTCTTTGTGTAGGCTGTAATCTTTTTCATTTTTTTTTTAGATGTTATTTATTTTGTTTTGTTATTGAGAATATACATAGCAAAACGTGATACCAATTCAACAGTTTCTGCATGAATAATTCAGTGACATTGATTACATTCTTCAAGTTGTGCAGCCATTTTCATCTTCCTTTTCTGAGTTGTTTCACCTCCAGTAACATAAACTCACCGCCCCATAAGGGCCTGTCTAATCTTTTCAATTTCTTTTGTAAGGTAATTTCATACAAATAGTTCTTAAAAGAGTATAACGCTCAAGGGTGACCTTTTATTCCACTAGTTAAGTTAAACTTGGTTTTTTTTTTTTGTTGTTGTTGTTTATTTTAAGAACACTTCAGGAGATATTTTTGGTTCAATATGTAAAGATTTTATCAGGGCAGTATTTTCAGGGTTTCATCCACTGTTCATGGCTTCAGCAAGTCTAGAGTCCATGAGAGTATGAAATTCTGTTCTGCATGTTCCTCCTTTTGATCAGGATTCTTTTATGGAATCTTTGGTTAAAATGTTCACAGTGCTTAATCTTAATGTGACTATTTCTAAAAGAATCAGTTAAAATGTCAAGTACTCTAGTAATATACTGAAATTAGTAAATTTGTTCATATTTAAATATCTGTAAGAGATTCTATGTTAGGATCAGTATGAATAAATCAGTTTAATAATAGTAAAATAATACCATTTTTAATGTACGTCATTTAAATAGATTATAAAATTTATTTTTCATTGCCCTTTTTTTTTTTAAATCCTTTAGATTTTGATTTAGGTGTTTCATTGCTTTTAGAAATAGAGCTTGAAGAGGGAAAATCTCTCATTGGGTAAAAGTTGGAGAAATATGAATTTAGATCTTCTTTAGCAACTGTGATAGGCTGTGTAATACAGCCAGTAAACACTCTGGTGATTTAGATATTTATCTGATTTTGATGTATTCAACCTGATCATATTTATTTTTTATACTTTTAATAGTCATTTGGCTATCACCTGAATACACTGTAAATTAGCATTTAGCTAACCATCTGTGAATGAGAAGATCTGGTTTATTTGCACCTTAGGTTTTTTGTCCTTTTTGTCCTTTTAGATATTTAAAAAGTTAACTATGCCATACTTTGCTGACCTTATGGCAGCCATTTAGCAGTTAAGGCAGTGGACTAGGCTAGTCAAATGGGAGATGTTTAACCTTGCCTCTGTTTCTAACCTTGGTTTATAACTGCTCTTGGGGAATATGCCTTTATTTGATATGAATTCTTAACATTTTACTTTATTTTCCTTTAGGGCACATTAGCTCAAGCTGTAAAGAAAGGAGAGTGGATCTTATTGGATGAGATTAATCTGGCTGCTCCAGAAACATTGGAATGCCTGAGTGGTTTACTTGAAGGATCTGCTGGCTCCCTGGTGTTGCTGGATCGAGGAGACACAGGTAGCACTGGGTCCCCTTGGGTGTTTGATTTAGTGCCAAACTATTTGGCCCATTTACAGGAAGGCTTCAAATCGTTTCGTTCTGGTTTGACCACCTGCTGAGAATTTGCATCCCCTGCCTCTGAAGGATTATATGGTCCTTCCAGTGCAATTTGTTCATTCTTTAGCTAGCTATTCCTCTGCAAAGTGCATTGCACTACTGTTCGGCAATACATGGAATGCTGGGACAAATAAGATATAATTTGTCAAGGCAAATGAGTTGTGGGTACTAGATATATGTACATAGTGACAAAATATTCACAGGTGAGTGGATGAGAAAAGGTAAAGGTAACAGTGAACAATAGCAAAAAAAGATGGAAGAATGGCAGCATATAATTAAATTCAATACATAGGGTCTGGGTAGTGATTTCAGTAGGGTTTCAGAAAAGCCAGTAATTGTTTGAGCAGCCAATACCAACCCATTGTAGGTTTGCTGGGCCTGGGGTTCGGCAGAGTTAGAATTCCTCTGGTTGATTATTTGATTTTTATAAGCTATTGAAAATTGACCAAACATGCAATCAAGATGTGTTGATAATCACTGGTGATTGGAATACAAAAGTTGGAAACTAGGAAGTATCACCTGTAGTTGGAAAATATGGCCTTGGTGATAGATATAACACTGGAGATCGCATGATAGAATTTGGCAAGACCAGTGACTTACTCATTTTAAATACCTTTTTAACAATACAAATGATGGCTATACATGTGTACTTTGCCAGATGGAGTACACAAGAATGAAATCAACTACATATGTGGAAAGAGGTGATGGAGAAGCTCAATATCATCAGTCAAAACAAGACCAGGAGTTGACTGTGGAACAGACCATCAACTGCAAGTTCAAGTTGAAGCTGAAGACAATTGAAACAAGTCCATGAGAGCCAAAATACGACCTTGATTATATCCTCCTGTATTTAGAGACATTGACGTATTGAACACCAGTGACCAAAATCGGAGGAATTGTGGGATGACATCAAGAACATCAGGCAGCAGATCATTAAAAAGACAGGAAAGGAAGAAAAGACCAAAATGGATGTCAGAAGAGACTCTTAAACTTGCCCTTGAATGGAGAGTAGCTAAAGCAAATGGAAGAAATGACAAGATAAAAGAGCTGAACAGAATATTTCAAAGAGCAACTTGAGAAGACAGAGTCAGTTATTAGAATGAAATGTTCAGAGACCTGTAGTAAGAAAACAAAAAGGGAAGAACACACTTGGCATTTCTCAAGCTGAAAGAATTGAAGGAAAAATTCAAGCCTTGAGTTGCAATATTGAAAGATTGTATGGGCAAAATACTGAATGATGCAGGAAACATCAAAAGAAGATGATGTTCAAAAAGACGGAATGCACAGAGTCACTGTACCAAAAAGAATTGGTTGATGTTCATGCATTTTAGGAGGTGGCATATGATCCAGTACCCGTGGTATTGAAGGAAGAAGTCGAAGCTGCACTTAAGAAATTGGTGAAAAACAAGGCCCCAGAAATTGATGGAATACCCGTTGAGATGTTTCAACAAATGGATGCCACACTGGAAGCACTCACTTGTCTATGCCAAGAAATCTGGAAGACAGCTACCTGGCCAGTTGACTGGAAAAGATCCATATTTGTACCATTCCAAAGAAAGGTGGTCCCACAGAATATGGAAATTATTGAAGAATATCATTGATATCACACACAAGTAAAATCATGCTGAAGATAATTAAAAAATGATTTCAATAGTATATTGACAGAGAACTTCCTGAACTGCAAGCTGGATTCAGAAGAGGATGTGGAACAAGGGATACCATTGCTGGCATCAGATGGATCTTGGCTGAAAGCAATGAATACCAGAAAGATGTTTACTTGTGTTTTATTGACTGTGCAAAAGCATTTGACTGTGTTGATCATAACAAATTATGGATGACATTGAGAAGAATGGGAATTCCTGAATACTTCATTGTGCTCATCAGGAACTTATATATAGACCAGGAGGCCATTGTTCAAACAGAACAAGGGGATATTGCATGTTTAAAATCAAGAAGGGAATGTGTCATACTTACTTTCTCCATACTTAGTCTGTATGCTGAGCATATGATCCGAGAAGCTGGACTGTATGAAGAAGAAAGTGCCATCAGGTTTGGAGGAAGACTCATTAACAACCTGTGATATGATGACGACACAACTTTGCTTACTGAAAATGAGGGTGACTTGAAGCACTTACTGATGAAGATTAAAGAGTTCAGTCTGCAGTACAGATTACATTTCAGCATAAAGAAATGAAAATCCTCATAACCGGACCAATAAGCAGCATCACAGTAAATGGAGAAAAATTGTCATTAAAGATTTCTTTCATATTACTTGGTTCCACAATCAATGCCAATGGAAGCAGTAGTCAAGACATCAGATGACATATTGCACTTGGCAGATCTGTTGCCAAAGACCTCTTTCAAGTCCTGAAGAGCAGAGATGTCTTCTTGAAGAATAAGGTGTGCCTAACCCAAGCCATGCTATTTTCAGTTGCCTGGTATGCATGTGAGAGCTGGACAGTGAACAATGAAGACTGAAGGAGTTGGTGCTTTTAAGTTGTGGTGTTGGAAAAGAATACTGAAAGTACCATGGACTGCCAAAAGAATGACCAAATATGTCCTGGAAGAAGTGCAGCCAACATGCTCGTTGGAAGTGAGAATGGCCATACTTTGTCTGTCTGATTTGGTCACATTGTCAGAAAGGACCATTCTCTGGAGAAGGATACCATGCTTGGTAAAGTGGAGGGTCAAGGAAGAAGGGGAAGGTCCTCAATGAGATGGATTGACACAGTGGCTGCAACGATGGACTGAGGTATATCGTGGGGAGGCACAGGACCAGGCAGTGTTTTGTTCTGCTGTACACAGGGTTGTTGTGAGTGGGGGCTGACTTGATAACACTGACAACAATAACAGCATTGAAAATTTATAATTTTCTCTTAATAGAGCCATTGGTTCGTCATCCTGACTTCCGCTTATTTGCCTGCATGAATCCAGCCACTGATGTAGGCAAAAGAAATCTCCCACCAGGAGTAAGAAACAGGTGAGGGGACGTGGCCTGATATTGGAGACATTTTTTATTGAGTGATTGGGAATATTAATATAACCAAACTTCATAACATTGAATAGAGGGCTTGAATTTTTTTTGCCCTCCAACAAAGGACTCTTATTTTCCTTGATTTGTCATACTTCCTTGCTTTCTATAGATGGTAGAGATGATGGGAAATTCCAGAACACTGGATAATTTTCTTCAAGTCATTAGTATGATGCTTAATGGCTCATGGTTAATGTTGAAAGCAAAAAAATCTTTCCTCTTTTGGATGCTTCTGTATTGTAGCTGTGGGAATTTTTTTTTTATAACAGCATAAGTGCAGTTTATAAACAGAACCCTTTGGATCACGCTGATGATCTGTTGAAGACCTTTTAAGTTTCCTTCAGTTTTCATTGCCAGCACTGACATGAACACAGTACTTAGTTATTGAGGTTTTTATGTATGTAATATTTGAGAATAGATATATGACCAAAGTTCATAAATATCCAAATTTATTGTTTTTAGTAACTTTTTATTTCATTTTGAGTTTTAAAATGGTGCTAAAAGTTTATTGCATTCTGTTTTTTATAATAATAATAAAAGCTGCTGAGGAAATTTTTTTTTTAATTTTATTGTGATTTGAGTGAAACTTTACAGAGCAAATTCATCTTCCATACAGCAGTTCATATATACTTTGTCTCATGACATTGACTACAATTTACCAAAATGCAAAAGTTCTCCTCCAACTTCCTCCCCACACCTCTTCCCTGTGTCCTTCCCTCCTGTACTCCTGCCCCCTGAGCTGTCTCCCTGGGCATACACAGCCCTTCTGTTGTCTCATGATTGATCTCTTCAAGGAGTATATCTACCTAATGTAAATGTTCAGCTCATAGGCCTGTCTTTTGTTTGGCTGGAAGCCACTAGATTAGGTTTAATTCCAGACCTGAAAGGCAGCTAGAGGCCATAGTCTCAGTGGTTCCATCAGGCTCTATCAGACCTACAAACCTGGTCTGTGTTTTTTTTTTTTTTTTTTTTTTATAATTTTGAGTTTTGTTCCATATTGTTGTTCCACTCTCTCCAGGATCTCCTACATAGATCCCCTCCAAGTGGTTGACAGTAGTAGCCAGGCACCATCTAATTCTTCTGTCTTATATAATAGTCTTATAGGCTGAGGATCTCATGGTGTACCAGTCCCTTGGACTAATTGTTTCTATGCATCTTTGGTTTTCTTCATTCTTCTTTGCTCTGGATGAGTAGAGACCCATCATTGCATGTAGATGGCTGCTTGCAAGCTTTTAAAATCCCAGTTGCTACTTGCCAAAATGGGATGTGGAACAGTGTTTTTGTGTAGTATGTTATTATGCCAGTTGAGCTTGATGTCCCCTGTGACTATGGTCCCGAGGGCCCACAGGTCTACTCGCTCTCTCTGGGTAGCTGGCTGTGGCCAAAAAGTGACTGCAACCTTGTCCCTTGTCAGCCCTACTATAGACCTGGAAATTCTTACCAAATATACAGATATACTTGTAGAAGCATTGTGTGCCAACCGTGTAACATGGTCATGGACATGCTCCCCCCTGCATAGGCATACCTAATAGTTCGACCTGTCCACCCATCTGTCCACCCGTAGATCAATGTTTGCCATCACTGACAATGCTGAGAAAGTTTTAGAGGCTATATTGACATATGTATTTCGTCTTGTTCTAACCCCCTCCCCTTTTGTTTTCTTCTTTTCATGGTGAGGGAGCTTATTTCTTGTACATATTTTTTTGTTACACATACCACTTTCTTAAAATGAAAATAAATACATCTTAGGAGACTTCATTTCATATAAAGTAATAGAGGTAGTGTTTTTGGTAACATATACATTATTTTTCATTTCAATGTGTATAATTGGTATGTCATATTGAAAGGTTTTTGTATGTTTTATTTCAAGCAGTTGAAATGAGCTTATATAACTTGTTTCCTACTTTTCTGTTGTCAAAATAGCTGTATTAATTTTCTACCAGATGGTCATTATATAATACTTGACTTACAGGTTCACAGAACTTTACGTGGAAGAATTGGAAAGTAGAGAAGATTTACAAATTCTTATTGTGGATTATCTGAAAGGATTGAGTGTGAACAAGAGCACAGTGCAAGGAATCATAAAGTAGGTTCTCTTGGTGTGTTTATAAACTTTTCCTCAAACATAAAAAATAGGTATCTCATGGACGTATATGTCTTTCTTCTTGTATTTTTTGCTTCTAATCAGAGAAATCGATGGAAGCAGTATTATTTATATTTCTGTTTGAAAATTGGAACTTTACATGAACTCCCGTGGATTTTCCTAAGGAAGCATATATAGGAAGCTGTGAATTGCTGCTACCTATGAGCATATGTAAACAATTAGGCAGTGCTCTGCTAATGACTTCTGTATTCATAGCTGAGAGTTTGAATTTCTGGATGGGACGTGAATGGCATGTATTTTGTTCTGTCTTGATGAAATCTTACCTTCCCATTTATATTGGGTATATATGGGATGTACGGGGAAAAAGTTGATAGACTTGATGTGGTCAAGTTTGGAATTATTAGAGCCTTATCTGAATATTGTATAGTGTAGTTGTGTGTGGTTTAGTGCTTTAATTGGAGTCTCCTCCTGGGTTTTGTATGCTGTATGGAAAGGGTTCAATCTTTTGAACCTTTGGTTCAAAAGGTTGGACAACTTGAATTCTAGCACTGGCTTTGCTAGAAATGAATTAAGTCGTCTTGGGTAAGTCACTCATTACACTTTCTCTGTGTCTTCTAGAAAGAAATAAACAATATGTTAAAAGATTGAAATAGGACCATATTAGTGTTTATTTTGTGGTTTCTTCATTCATCTTTTCAAACAAATATTTTTTGAATGCCCAGGAGCCAGAGATGTAGCTATTAAGACAAAATCTAGGTTCTTCTCACAGAGCTTTAATTCTAGAGGTGAGGATAACTAATAAAAAAGGAGATGTGTAGTATAATTTCAAGTTGTGAGAAGTGAAGAATAACACTTTGGAAAGCAATGTGGGGTTAAAGAATACAGTTTGGAAGTCTTGTTTCAAATAGGTTCTCAAGGAGATATTTGCTTAAAATGGTTTAGAATGGAACCCTGCTGGCATAGTGGTTAAGCACTCAGGTGCTAACTGAAAGGTTGGTGGTTCAAACCCGTTAGAGGCTATGTGGAAGAAAAGACCTAGCAATTGGGTCCTGTAAAGGTTATAGCCTAGGAAACTCTGTGAGGCAGTTCTTCTCTGTCATTAGGGGTCACTATGAGTTGAAATCAACTCAGCAACACACAACAAGAAAAGATTGATTTAGCAACCACACCTTAAAGTTGGAACACTTTTCATTAGGCAAAAAGATTTGGAAATAATTGAAAATATATGTAGTTAAAATTCAAGAAGCTGAAGATAGAGCAGTGCAACTAGAAATAAAGCAGAAGTTCTTGTGAAATGCTGATCGTGCAAATAGTGCATGTTCCAGGCATTAAAAAAAACATTGCTGGAAGGTGGATTCTCTCTGCATTCCCACTGGTGATACGCAATCCAAATCCAGGTTCGGCATGAATTTTCATTTCATCTGTGCTACATATTTGGTTATAATTGGTCTTATGGTATTTGATCATGAATTTCTGAATTTGAGGCACTTTATGCTTCATTCTGAAATGTCTTCCATCTTGTACTTTCCAAGTGTGGCATTGATAATAGAAACGGTCATATCATCATGCTTTTTAATATTTTGGTTATACTGATTATTTATTTGTGTCTCAGTTAGAGCTAGCTCTGGGTTTGGACTCACTATGTTTTCATTAAGGGCTCTTCACAATCTTTTCCATAATAGAAGCTTCTTATCTGTTCTATCTGAACATTTTTGCCAGAGGAATTGCACCTTGTACTGTCAGTTTCCCAAAGGGAAGTTGATAGAGCTTCATTTTATTATTTGCAAAGATAGCCTATAAGTATGTGATCCAAACCAAAGCAAACCCACTGCTGTTGAGTTACCTTCCACTCATAATGACCTTATGGGACAGAGTAGAACTGCCCTATAGGGTTTCCAACACTGTAAATATTTAGCCACATCTTTCCACTGTGAAGCTGCTGGTAGGTTCAAACTGCTGACCTTTTTGGTCTGTAGCCTAGCACTTTAACCACTGCACAACCAGGGGTTCTTGTGTATGTGGTAGTAGATTTAAAAAGATTTCTTGAGAGGTTTTGATGCATGCTCTAGAACGTTGTATGTAAGCTTGACTGTATAACAGTTATAAAAATGGTCTTTGTACCTTCTGTAGAGAAATGAGAACAGGAGCAAAATAATGAGGAGACTTCTGGTAAGATAGAGGAATAGGCAGACAAGTGACACAGACCCTCTTCAACAAAGAAAAGAAAAACCAGTTGACAGGGATACAGAAAATAATCCTGGAGCCCTGAGCTTTGAAAGGAACTATACAGAAGTAGGTTAGGCACCAACTAGTGGAAAAACCTGAATGAAAACAGTGAGTACAGAGATGGTTGGAGCTGTGGACTGTCAGCTACTATGATGGGACCAAGAGCATGAATATTTCCAAGTGGTACTGGGACCTGAGAATTGACCTAAAGATCAGCCCTGGTTTCCAGGGGCTGCAGGGATGACTGCCCTGGTGGCCTATGACTAGGAAGGGAAACAGCAAGGAGGGAGGCAACCTGAGCTGTTGACTTTCCACTGTCCAGAGGGCACAGCCATTTTGATTGTTCACACATGGCAACCATTTTGAATATTTAAAGTGACCAAGGGCGCAGCCATTTTGAATTTTACAAGTGGCAGCCATTTTGGATTTTAAAGTGATAGCATTCTCATTCGGATTCCAGGGACCTAAGAATAGGCTCTGTTTGCCAGGGTCAGCAGGGACATATGAGAGGGTGACAGCAGGAAAAGAGACAGGTGGTGAGTGTATAAGTGCTGTCAACTAGCAAATAGAGGAGCACGGTACTCTGCTTGTGTAGATAACATACAAAGAAAACGAAAATCTTGGGCAAGTCACTCCAACATGCAATCACCAATTATATATAAACACAAAAAACGTCACAATGCCTCAGAGACAACAGAGCATCACAGTCCATACAAAAAAGCAAGATAAAGCAGGAGAAACAAGGGACCAGGATACAGACCCAAAACACATCCCTGAGTATTGGAACTCCCTGATAAAGAATTCAAAAGAATTATATTTTGGTATCTTCAACAAATTGAGAGACAGATCAAGGAAAATACAGAGAAAACTCTAGAACAATTTGAAAAGACAATACAAGTGCAAAATGACAAAATAAATGAAAAATTAGAAATGATACAAAATCTACACACAGAAATCCAAAAGATTGATGCTAAATTTTTAGAAATAGATCAGACATTGAATGGGTGTAGAAGCAGAATTGAATCCATGGAAGGCAGAGTTAGGGAGACTGAAGGCAAATACCTGAACACTTCTTTGGAAAGAGATAAATCAGAAAAAAGATCAAAACAAAAGGAATTAAGCCTAAGGTTCATGTGGTATGCCATCAAAGGAATAAACCTACTTGTAATCGGAATTCCAGAACCACAGAAAATAAAATAAAACCACAGAAAATTGTCCAAGATTTGTTGGAAGAGAATTTGTCTGGTATGATGAAATATGAGAATATATCCATTCAGGAAGTCCAATGAACCCCAAACAGGATAGACCCCAAAAGAAAATCACCCAGACATACCATCATCAAACTTAGCAAAACCAAAGACAAAGAATCATGAGAGCAGCATGGGAAAAACGTAGTCACCTACAAGTGGCAACCAGTAAGACTAAGCTTAGATTTCTTGACAGAAACCATGCAGGTGAGAAGACAGTGGGATGGTATATATAAAACCCTGAAAGAGAAAAATCTCTAACCAAGAATTATGTACCCAGCTAAATTGTTTCTCAGATATGATGGTGAAATTAGGACATTTCCAGATAAGCAGAGATTAAGGGAATTTGTTAAAACCAGATCAACCTTACCAGAGATGCTAAAGGGAGCCCTTTGGACAGAGAAGCAACCATAGCAAACAACAACTGACAATTATACACATGATGATATAACCCAGAAACCAACCAGCTATGGAAGTATCCAAAGTAAATAAGCCTACAAGGATTGTAAACAGGGAACCAGAGATAACAATTGACAATGAGGACAACTACAAACCAAAAAGAGGGAAAAAACTGTGTTGTTACAGAACTTCTAGATGGTAGGGAAGTCAAGACAACTACAAGATAGAATGGACTGTTCTAAACTTGGAAAGAAAACTATAAATCACAGGGTAATCTCAAAGAAAAATGATAAATCTTCACATCAAAAAAGAAGACCAGCGTAAATATTCAGCAAATATTAAAACAAGTGCAATGAAGGAAGTGATAACACGATTCATAAACAAAACAAGCTCAGCATAGAAAATTACATGGAACAAAGAAATCGACACCACAGAAAAGCACATAACAAAAATGACAGCAACAAATTCGTATTTGCTGATAATTACATACCTGACAAGGAACTTATCTCTAAGATTTATAGTGGAAGAGTGGATGGCCAAACTATGGTACATACACATAATGGAATGCTCTGTAGCAGTAAAGAATAACGTGGAGTCTGCAAAACACTGCATAATATGGATGGACTTTGAGGACATTATGCTGAGCGACATAAGTCAATCACAGAAGAACAAATATAGTATTATTTCGTTGTTGTGGAGGCTCGAGGAAAGGTTTATATGTGGAGGGAAACTTCCTTTGTTGGTTGCCAAGGGTAGGGAGGGAACACTGCAAAAAAAAAAATGCATTGACCCATGTCACTTTAGTTTTGTGTATTTCACTGGATATAAATTATATTTCAATAAAATGCATTAAAAGAAAGCAAAATAATGAATACTAACTGGTTAATAAAGTCACCTGAATTATACCTTCTTTGTAGCTTCTACACAGTTGTGCGGAAGGAGTCTGGAACCAAATTGGTGGATGGGACTGGCCACAAACCTCACTACAGCCTTCGGACTCTCTGTAGGGCCCTGCGATTTGCAGCCTCCAATCCATGTGGCAGCATCCAGCGCTCACTCTATGAGGTTTTTATAAAGTCTGTGTTTGGAGAGGGGCTTGGTGGTTGGGCTTACCATAGGAGGGGGCAGTGGGAATTCAGCCAGGTTGGTCAGTGCTCAGTGCTTCCAGTTTGGTTATCATAGGGCACTCCTTACCACAACTACACGTTTAAAAGTTGTCTGGGAAGCTGCACCACACTAAATTTTTTTTTTCTTGAAATAAATTCACCTGTTACTGTAGAAGGATAAGTAGTGTTATATATATTTGTGTTTTTTTCCTAGGGCTTTTGTTTGGGTTTCTTAACACAGCTTGACAGGGCATCACACCCAGTAGTTCAGAAGCTCATTTGTCAATACATTGTCTCTGGCAATATCAAAAGTCTGCTGAAGCAGGTATGTTGTCTTTTGATTTTTGACTGTTCATTTAGCATATAAATGAAAGTCTGAATTACCAAATTTTCAACTGGTTTGTGTTTTACAAAACTTTTTTCTAATTTTAGAAGTACTCTGTTATAAAAAATTTAAACATTGCAGAAATGTATCATTATAGATATGAAAGTGTCCCATAATCATGCTCTTCAAAGATATAAACCCTAGAAATAGTCTTTCCCAAGTAAATTACATATGTATTTTACTTTCCTATATATTTAAACTTTGATGTGTGTGTGTGATGTAGCTTTATTGAAGCAAATTCTAATGTCTATTTAATACACATGGGACCATCTCATAGAATATTCTGTAGCATCCCTTCTTCACCTAACTGTGCCTTGAATATTTCAGTCCAGAGATCTCTCTGTCATGCTTTCTATTGGGCACATGGTCTCCACTGGGTGGTTGCACTCTCATTGCCCTATGAATTATCTATCCTGTTTCCTTGTGGTTTTTGTTTCTTTTTCTGGCTGCTGTAACCAACCACCATCTGATTTTAGCAGAGTACACTGCAGAGCAGCAGGGCACTGAAAAGGAGCACTGAAAAAGGCTGAGAGAAGCTGGCTGTCGCCTTGTTTACTTGTTAGCGCTTCCTCTTTAGGAAGAGAGCATCTTTGGGACTTGCAGTTATTTTGAACTCAACCTTTTTCTCCTTTACTTTTTTTAAAAATTGATCAATGAGCGCATAAATAAATACTTCTGACAGAGTGTGAAAACGTTGACAAAAGACTCCAGTTTGCTTTAGCTATTCGTATCAGTTTCCCCTGCTTGCTCATTTTTTGTGTGTTCTTCATGGTTGTAATGAAAGCTTAACAATTCTTCACCACTGCCCCTTAGCGTAATAAGGAGCTCTTAATAGCAATGCCTGCAATTAAGCCTTCAAATCAGAGTGCCAAATGTTCTAGGAATACTTTTCTGTAGCTATAAATTTATAAAAGTATAAATACTTTATTTCTACAGCTAAAAATTAGTAAATTTTTGATTTATAAAAAATGGCAATTTTGCATGGCTCAACTTAATAATCTCTACCGTATCTTGGAAAGATCATTTCATCTTCCACAATACAGTCCTTAATGGAGTCATTTCTCTGGAGAATCAGTTTTATTTTTAATGTCTTCTAGGGGATCCAGAGTGTAATGTTAAAGTCCCCTCAGTACAATGATGGCCTGTTTTGTTGGACTGTAGTTTATGAAATACATGTTT